TCACAGTGGAATAAATTTGTGTTTTTTTTTTTTTTTTTTTTTTAAGAGTATAAATTCAACATGATTTTGGAGTGGTATAATGGCATCAGAAATAAATGAAAGGTATCATACCAACAAAGGTGTTTGGTACTTCAAGCAAGATGGCTTTTGTTCATTGCTTGAAAGGGACTCTGGATCTTCACTCAGCCTAGCTGATTATGTCCAGCGGGAGAAACTCGGTGTGGTGTGGCGTTTGTGATGTAAATCATCCCCACGGTCCATCACAACTGCGCAGAAGTGCGGAACCACTCATTCAGTGATACATTTATGTGCCAAAAAGATTGACTTGGTTGTTTCGTTTCACGCTTGATGGGTGGGCAAACACCCCATGCCATTAAAAAGTCATTTTAGTTCCGCTTTAATAGTCAAAACGGAGGCGCCATTATCCTCGTCAGTAATTTTTGCACATAAGTGGAATACATTTGGTTCAATGTTTGGTTGGGAATGTGTCTTAACAAAGACACACACATGTATGCACACACACAGACACACACACTCTCACTCTCTCTCTCTGTACTTGTGTGTGTTTCCAGAGCACCTGTTCTTGATCCACTGCTGCCATTTCTTCCCACAGGCAAAGTCATCCATCCTTTCAACTCCCTCAGAAACTAATGCATATATAACACCACCACCGCAACTACACACGAGCTGCAGCTGCCACAACTAGCCCACTCGGATTGTTTGTTTGCGCGCGCGGGAAGCCTTCATTACCGCTAGCCGCAACATGGCGCAGTGGCTAAATACTGTGATGTGAGCCACACATTGTACCGAGTCATCTACAAACGACGGGACACCGGTCAGTGTTGCATTATGTAAGCTGTCACTTCACCCGGAGGATTGTAGAACAAAGACCTTGCCTTTGACAAGCATGGCAGGAATGGACCTGGATCAAAAAGGTGTGGGCGCACACTCAATATACCGGCTATGCACGTGGGTGTGTGCCAGGGAATGCTATTGTGTGTGCCACGGAATTCTATTGAACGGCACCAGAGACAAGGGCACTAACTCAAAGCTATGTTTGCTCTAAGAGGGACAGAAAGAGTGTGTGGATGGAGAAGGCCCACGGAAGACAAGACTTCAGTGAGTGCGCGCCTGTGCACGCGCATATTTGTGTGTGTGTGTGTGTCTGTGTGTGTGCATACTGCAGGCTGGAGAGAGACGGGAAGCGCTGCTGCGGGGAGCGAGAACAGCGGCGCTGATCAAAGCCCAAGCGGGTGACACCATGGGCGGAGTGCCATTGTTTATTCACCAGCCACCTTCTCGCTTTTGGCAAGATGAGGTGAGCATGTGCGCCTCTGCACGTGCGTGTGTGTGTGAGTGTGTGTGTGTGTGGGAACAGAGTTTGAAGAGTTTGGAGACGCAGTCTGGAAAAGACAGTGTGTGTAGCAAAAGAGACAAGAAATGTGTGTGTGTGTGTGTGTGTGTGTGTGTGTGTGTGTGTGTGTGTGTGTGTGTGTGTGTGTGTGTCCTCACCTTTCACTTGGCAAGGGTAACGTACGTTGGAGTTCTGTCACATTTGGCAGATGTGCAGTACAGCAACTGTTTGCAAACAAAAACTCAATGCGCCCGCACTCACAACCACACTAATAAGCTTAGCAATAGATAAACACCAATTCAAATACACCGAAAAGCTTAAATAAATTGAGCCAGGGACCACCGGACTACACTGTCTTAAACAAGGGAGGCCAAGACTTTACATACATTGTAAATATGCTCCGATACTAGGCGATTGATACAACGTCACCAGCTTAAGACACACAACATCTGGGTAGGAGCCGTGCGTAGATATTTTGAGGTAAACAAGGATGACAACTATTTTAAAACATTGCAATCAAGGCTCGAGAGGCCCATTTGCGAGTCTCCCACCTCTGCCCTGCAGGCTGAATGCTTGATCCCGCCACTGTTTAATTTCAAACATGTAAGACATGCAAGTCGACATACGCACGGACTTGCACAGTTAAACAGCAGATGGCTCATTAGATCAGTGGTTGCTTTAATTGATCCACTGTTACTTGGATAAATGGGACAATTCTAGAGCTAATACAAAACATCATTAAAAAAAACAACCTACGTTACCTATATTACAGTTTTATACGTGAGTAAAATGCCTTTTTTTACAGTCTATATTTAATGTGTGAAACGTGTGGCAGGAAAAACCTGCAGCTGGATGGTTAACATTTCAGTGTGGGCAAAGTGTTACTCTAAAAAGTGTTATATTTGGGATGTGAGCGCAGATGGACGTGGACTTTAAAAAAGTAGTTAAGGTGTATAGACTCACGCAACAGATGGTTAAGTACACCGACACAGGTCAGTGCAAGCCATTATACGAGCAGTATCGCAATCTATGACTTGACAAAGATAATCATACTCATTACTTCAAATTGAAGGGTGTGTAGTTTGGTTATTTTTGGTCATACATGTCCAAATTCCTCCACCTAAAAGTCATGCAAGTACAAACCTTATAATGAGCAGACTTAAGTGCAGCAGTGTTTGTTCCTGTAAAGAGCATGGCATTCAAAGGCCGCTGCTGTTGACAGCCAACATTTAAGAAGTACAGAAGAGCCCACAGAGGGAGCTAAATTTGAACATGGGATTCCAGAGTATTAACAGAACAACTTTCTTTGGGACGATCCAAATTTTCCTCCCGCGCCATTGTCAGAAGCCCTTCACTAGCCTTGTCATCAGTCCCAAAAAATCTCAGCAAGTGACACACAAGGTCACCAACATCTCCTCCTTGGCCGGAAATCTTTCTTGTGCGTCTGAAAACGACACTGTGATGCTTTGAGGCTCCTAATCTAAAATCATTTACGAACGTGTCAGCATTGTGAGAAAAATACACATGACTTGTCCATAAAAAAAAAAAATCCTAAGAGAGTGAAATAAGTAAATCTTACCGTTGGTAAGAAGATCTGGCCCAAATGCATTTATTTATTGATACAACAGTTCTACAGTCACTATTTATTAGAGAATTGTAATAAGTGGAAAAAAATGATTGTTTGTTTTTAAAAATTGGTTCGGCTCAGCCAACACAAATTGTTCTGCAACTGTTTCCGTTAGTAGTGCAACCAACAGACGCTTTGGTGGCTCTGTGATTCCAATTAGGTCATTTTCTTTCATTTGGCTGACAACAAAATGATAACTACGTAGACTCACAGCATTTGAACGCTAGTGCTAGGCAACCAGCTGTTGAGCTAGCTATGTAGCTGCTAGAGGCTCGAGGATCACTTAACGGCATATTCTTGTAGAATATTTTCATGAGTGAGACAGTCTCCTACTTTTTGCCATCTTTATGCTCATTTCCAAGAGAAGTGTCAAAAGTCGCTTTGGTGGCCTGTGTGATTCCACTGAGGCTGACAACAAACTGTTAACTTTTTTGCTAACTAGCCAACTGCTGAGCTAGCTAGCTAGCTCTGTGCCAGTGGCTCGAGAATTATTTAACGGCATATTCTTTATGCGTTATTTCCATTAACGTCTCCTCCTTTTTGCACAACGTGTGCAGTTTTAACATAAGGGACACCTCTATTGTAGCTGCGTGTCGTATTCTTTGTCAAAAAAGAGTGAATGAAATAGCTTGACATATAGTCAGTAGAAACAAGGTTTATTTACAGTGTGACGCCTTGATCACCACCATTCAGCACACCTTACAATCAGCACCATCTTGCCATCCACACATTATTGCAACATTATTAAAAAACACCCCCCGCCCCGAGAAAAACACACATTTAAGATTTTTTTGGAGTGCTAAGTAGCTAGCTAGTTGACGCTCCAAGTTGTCTATTGTCCACACCATTGAAGAAGCAGACAAACAGCGGTTATTTTTCACCGGCTGTGTCGAAAGGAGACGCAACATGCTGTGATGTTTCTTTAAAAAAAATTAAAAATAAATAATAATAATTGCAAGATTACTGGTACCCGCCCAGTACTGCTGATATTGTTTGCCGTAAGTTCCCACGCAGATAACCACTGACTGTTGATGTAGGCGAAATGAGTTGAATGACTCTTACCAAATTAAATTGCTTGCTTGGAACAAACTGTTGTTGAAACATGTTCAACTTTGAAGTTTCGGCCCTACCATGCCAATGAATTTGAATGACACACAATAGAGAGTGAGTGTAAAATGAGTGCCACGTTATGAACAGGACCGCTCCTTTTCGATGCTGTAAAAAGACAAACTCTGAACAAATGGGACGTTTTTGGGGAGAGCTTTTGGATGGTGCTAGGGAAGAGGGGGCTTTTGGGGGCGGGGTGGGGGTGAATGGGGTTGGGGGGGGGGGCGATTTGGCTGTCAAGGCCTGAAAGGACATCTCTAGCTCTCTCAAGGGAAGTCTCTCAGACCTGCCCCTCTTTTACTATATGAGGCAGCTGCAACCACAGACAGACAAGGTTTGTGTTTGGGAACATGTCGCGTATCCCAGACACAACAAGTCTTTATTTAGCGAGCCACACCCAATCAACTGCCACTGTGTCCCTTTCGCCTTCCTTTGGGCACAACCAGCGCAAAGAAGAGGAGAAAGAACAACTAGACTAAATAGACTAATTAGCCGGCGCATTCAATCAAGTCAACGGGAATCCCGGGGCCTTTTCCAATGTCATTACCTGGTTTATAAATGACGCCAGACTGGAAGAATTTGTTCTTAACCATGAGGATGAGCAACAGGAACGATGCGGAGAGGTTTCCAATTTACGGAGTGGAAAGCAGCGGACAGATTGAACAGGTTTGGGGTCGACATAAAGCAAACAGGTCACAAAAAGACACCATGGAAGCTTGCAAGTTGCCATAAAAATGACAGGGCGCACGTAAGCTACAGTAAATGTGTGTTCTGACAAAAGAAATTTGAGATGCCTCAAGGTCAAAGCCAGATGGGGCTATTATATATGGAAGACAATGTAAAAATTCACAACTTGGAAATAAAGTAAGAGATGTACTGCAAGCTTAATGATGGCGCCATTGTTGCACTGACCTCGTTGGCCTGGTTGGCCCGCTGGGTTATATTTGTCTTCTCTTGCGTCCATCGATTGTTGGCCTCCTCCTGTTGCCTCTTCATCGTCTGCTGCAGACCAACAGCTTCCTCTTTAGAGCTGCACACAGAGTGTTGCAGCTCAACAATAATCTAGACGGCAGACAGAATGGGAAAATGTATTTCAGTATCTCTAGATTTAACACAATTATGTGTGAAAATATTGTTCAAGTTCAAGTCAACTTTATTGTCAAATGTGCTACATGTGCAACATACAGCACAGATGAAATTACTTTCCTCTCAACCACAGGAGAGAGAGGAGGCGCTGCGGGTGCCCGCGCCGCCATCAAAAGAATTGTATTGTACTTGGAGGCTTTTTACTGAAAAAAATAAATAATACAATTTGGAGAGACAAGAAAGACCAAAACCCCGGTTGTCCTAAAAAAACTAAAACAAAGCCTATTTGATTCCATTTGAAGATACATGCCTTTTTAATGGGCTGTTGAGCTGAAAATGTTCTGAAATTTGTGTTGTACTTTGTGCAGGTCTTTACCACTATTGTTGTGGTCGTAAGCTCCAAAAGTAATCAAGACGACAGGATCGGGTGTGTGTGCCTGTGTGTGTGTGTGTGTGTGTGTGGGGGGGGGGGGAATCAACAAGTGCCAGGAAACTTGATTTAAGAGTGCCCGATTCCAGTCGTGATTGAAATCTCGGGGGCTTAAAACCCATCAGAATGTGTAACAAGATCCGAGATAACACCACAGGCCAACAAAGTGGAAAATCTGCCGATGGAAGCAGATTTACAAACAGAGGCTTAGATGAGGATCAAGTTGTAACGGAAACACGTTGGCAGGCTGACAAAACCTCTCTCCTCTGATTGGAACAAACCAAATAACTTATTGAACACCTTGAAGTGAATACAAAATTATTTCTTTTTTCCGACCCGAACCTGTGCAAAGGTTTTAGGCCACTATTACATTTGTTGTTTGAGCACTTCTCACATGACCGTACATAACAGGGACGCTGGTAAAGGTGCTGATACCTGTCTGTACAGTACTTGATATGTCTAAAAATGCTCCGATACTACCCACACCAAATGGAAGTACTATCCATCCATCCATCCAACCATTTTTTGATCTCCTCACAAGGATGGCGGGGTGTGCTGGAGCCGATCCCAGCTGTCTTCGGGCATTATGCCGGGTACACCCTAAACCGGCCAATCGCAGCGGAAGTACTGTTATAGGAAAATTGGTGCATCTCTCGTGCATAACTAGAAGGGCAGATCACCAAAAATGCCAACCAAAGAGACAGACACGGAGTAGTACCATACTTGTGTTTGTTCTTGGTTTCTGGTTTTTGACAAACAAATGGGTGTTCCCATACCTTACAGCAGTGCAAAGACACCTTGATCAAAATCCTCTGCATACTTTAACGAATTTACTGCAATGGATGTGTGACTAAAACATATGCAGGATTCAAGATCATCAAACCCGTGAACGATTTAAATGCCAAGTTAAGGATTGTTTTTAGATTCATGGACTTGTTTGCTGTTGTATCGCCCGCCGATTTTCAAAATGCAAATGATTTGTTTATTTTCAAAGAATGGTTTGTTTTGTTATTGTTTGGTTGGTGTCTTATATGAAACTGCGACATTGCACAATTTATTGGACAGACTTGTTTAAGATCACACAGCGTAATTCGGGTGGCATTTTATTTCATATTTTTAAATCATCTTTTTATTTTTGACTATCTGTAAATTTAGTTTCCTGCTCTTAATTGTGAATGCATACTTGATGGTTTTAAATGCTCCTGAAATTAAGTGCTGCTTGACGAGCCTAAAAAAAGTTGGTCCACATTTTCATGGCAAAAAAAAAAGTTGGTCCACATTTTCATGGCAAAAAAAAAAGTTGGTCCACATTTTCATGGCAAAAAAAAAAGTTGGTCCACATTTTCATGGCAAAAAAAAAAGTTGGTCCACATTTTCATGGCAAAAAAAAAAGTTTGTCGGATTCGTCGGGCCGGGTCGGAATTCTTGTCGATACTATGGTACAAGGTTCTGTGCAAAATTTCATTCCGATCTGATGATATTTTCCTGTCCCGCAAAGCGGCCAAAGTTTCCACCATAACAACTGGTCTCAATAGGGTGAACATGTGTATTTTAACCGTGTATTTTGCCATGCGTGACACTGGCTGGGCTGAATGTTGCCCGAACGATCACCTCCTGACTAACTAAACCTTCCATCGCTGCTCTCAGCAGCCGGAGACAAACTCAAACGCACGCCTAACACACAACGGTCACCTACTGGCGAGCTAATATCTTTCAATTGAAGTCGAGAATCGCCGGAATTCTTACTGGACGCTGAGCTGAGGACGCTTTTCGACATCGAACATCACCACGGCTCGTCGGCGCGCTCGTCACCTACGGGTGGTGAACGACTTTGCGGAGAGGGGCGTCGCCCTCATCAGCGCGTTCTGCGGCGCCATCACGCGCGACGAGGAACAGCGACAGCACCTTCTGCAGGTCGTGGAGCGACACCGGGCGTTGCACCCGTGCGCGAAGTAGGCATGGGATGGCACGCACGGCGGATTTTTCGTTTTTTTTGCGGTCTAACAGTGTCACTAGTGTTGATGGACATTATAGACAGATGGACAGATAGATGGACCAGTTAACATGGACCAACAATCTCACCAGTGTTGAAGGATAACCACGGTTGCCTTTTTTGCAATACATGCGTTCCTGTCTTCCGTCTTTGAATTATTGCAAGTGCGAACTGAGCAAAACAAAATCCTTACTGTACGGGAGAAACCGTACTACCATTCAGCCCCGTAACATTCTTTCCATAGGGGAAACTTTGGTCGCTCTGCGGGACGGGATAAAATTATCCGATCGGAATAAAATTTTGCACACATCCTTGTGTCATAGTATCGACAAGATTTCCGACCCGGCCCGACGAATCCGACAAACTTTTCCAAAATGGACCACCCTAGTATGTATACATGCGGCATTGAAGAAAAACTTAAAACCTTACCAGCCAATTGAAAAAAGGAAGGGGTAAAGCTAAAAATAACCAATTGGGAATTTCTCACAGCGGGAGAGGTTCGGTGACAATATTTGGGATCAACATGTCCACAAGGGGAAAACGTGAAACCCTCGCTTGCAAAATGCCTTCTCATATAAATAGTGATGAAAATACATTCCACATGTGCAGTGGATTTAGATGAATGGTCACCTACAATCACGGCTTTCCCACAGTGGAATAAAAGACAAAACAGGGAAGGAAGGAAGGGGAAAAACGAATGGGAAAAGGGGGGAAAAAAAAACACAACTTCCTTTTTGAAGCGCTGAGCCACTTTGTGTTGGTGAACTTGCGGTGTATGCCGAGATGAAAAGGCACTGCCGTGGCTTTCAAATCTCCCAGTCAAAAATTAACATTCTATTTAAGCCACCGTCAGGGAAAAGGCAAGATGAGAGAGGAAAGCCAAGCAGACAGAGGTATGGAGAAGAAGACGGGTGGCGGCGGTGGCGGTGCCCTGCCGGTGCTGCCCCTCGCTTTGGGCCACACAGATAATTGTTTACTGTGTGCAAACTCTGGAGGACTAGCCCTGGTGGAATTTGCACAGTGTGTGGGAGAATGGCAAAAAAGAAAAAAGAAAAAAAAAAAGCATTTTTTCATAGGGATCGCTACTTGAGCCATACAAATGGCACATTGTTCCGGTAATCGATCATTTTGGGATGTAATAATTACTTAGCAATATGGATTCCCGTCAGCTCCGGGGCAGCGTTTTAGCTCGTAAAGACAGATGTCATCGAAGACTGTTTAGCTAATCTTTTATTTTTCTTCATGGAGTGATGCAGGATTGAGGATGCTTTTTTAATAAAAGGCCCGCATTCTTCATTTTGTTACCTTTTGGCTATCACCGGACTCAAAACTGACCATCGAAGGCGACTGAACGAAAAATATAAACCAAAATCTGTGACAAAATCTCAATATATATCAAAGGGATGATAAAGAAATCCTCGTCGACATAAACATACTTTCAGAAGTTGTCAAGGTAAAACAAAACAGTAGGTGATGCTGGAACACCCAATTGAATTGTAGCCAATCACAAACCAGAAGCAAGCAATCGCTGGGAGAATCCAAATCACAACAATGGAGTGGAGGTGTGTGGACTGATAAAGAAGTGCACGATAACTCACATACTTCAAAATGTTATATCTCGCCATCATGCTCGATCACGAGGTCGCTATTTTTTGCTTTAGTAATGCGGCCATGACCATAATACGACTAGAATGTCAATGAAGAGAGCGTATTTTGTATTTGTATTTAGTTTTTGTCTGTATGCCAAGATTCATTGGGTGGAGTGGATCGTAAAACGGTGAAACGTAACTAATGAATCCTGTATCAGCACCTTTATCCATATAATCACATCCTGTCCTGTTTATTTGAAATTTGTATTTTTTTCCACCAAAAAGCATGTAAAACAAATCCCCGTCCTCTTAAAAGTGCATCCTTAAGCTGTCAGGTTCACAACAAAGCAGTAGGAGGCGCTAAAACCCCTAACTGGAATTTTAGCCAATCATAAGCTTGAAGAAAACAATTCGTGGAAAAGGCAAATTGAACTTTAGTGAATAAAGCCAAGTGTGGACTCACAGGGGAGTAGGATAAACTATGTACCATGTATGCTATACACTAATATTTTTTCTTTATTCCAGTTTTTTTAAATGTAATTTGTGTGCTAGCAAAAGGCTAAAAAATAAAATCAACTCCTTCCATTAAATCTTGTCAAGCACTTTCCTGTAAAAGTGGAAATCTACACAACGCAACAAGTGGGAGTAATAAACCCGATTTGGTTTATTCATGCCCGCAAGGTCACATGTGAGCATCGTTCGAGTAGCTTCAAGAAGTAAATGAGTCCTATTTGCATAGTCCACCTGAACTTTGACCTCGTTCTACGAGAGCGCGATGTATCCTTGCACGGATATCTGTGGCTGTGCGCCTCCCGTGGCCAATCACCTCCTCCTTCCTCCCTTGATGGCTGGTCAAGGATAAAAGTAATGATCTCCCACCAGTATCACAGCGACGACCCGTTGGAGCCTCATCATTAAGAAAAGTGGGAGGAAAAGGCGAGAGAGAAGCGGTTCATAGGTCACCCACTCGCGGCGCGATGCTGCGCAGGAGAGACGCTAATTAGGGCCCGTTTGCGTGCGTGAGACAAAAAGCCGAGTGGTACCGTGCGATACGGGGCCGTGGGTGTGCGCGCTGGTGTCGATGTGCCCTTAACGGAGCTCCCTCCGGATAACGTATGGCCGTGGTATGCTTTTTTTTAATTGGGCTATTAAGCATGCGGCGGAGCACGGGAGCGATGCCCCCTGTCAGACAAGGAGGGGTTAATAACCGGGGTGAGCCTTTGTGGTTCAAAGGCCTCTTGTTTACATTTGACTGAGCTGCCCGCACACCCCCTGCCCCTCCATCTCCACCGAGAGGCTACGCAAACACGGGACGCCTCCGTTCGGTGTTTACCTTTGTAAAACAACGCCTCCCGAACCGGTGACAAATAGCCGCCATTAATCACGCATATGCAGTTGTTTGGACAAAAACACCCACTTCCCGCATCAAGGTCTCTAACAACAACAATGTGTGCCGCAGAGAGCGGATGGAGAACATAAGAGAAATAAATTACACTCTAGTGACTAACGGACAGTGGCAAGAGGAACTTTGCCGCTCGTGTGAACATTTCCCAGAGGCTGAAACGATCGCAACCTAACGCCTACTGAGCAATGCCGTTTTGAAGCTGCCAAATGATCTCGGGGCCGGTTGACAGTCCAAAAGAGTCCATACCATGTTACCTAAAGCAAAACTCCTTTCAACCCAGCATTTACTGGCATCTGCGTCATTTCGGTGCACTGTGACAATTAGTGCCGGTCTCTTCCAGGGCAGGTTTGTACGCGGTGTTCCGCAGGCTAAGCACACACCTGAACCTGAACAACTAATGCCATGAGTGACTTAAATTGAACAAAAATGTGCTTTTAATGTGGTTGTTGGCTTCTTGAAAATGACCAGAGCAATGCATTTCGTTTTATGTCGGTTTGCCCCTTGCGCTATCACTTCCAATTCCACCGCTCTCAACTTTGTTTTGTGCTTGTGGTGGTCTTTCCAAATATTGCGAGTGTGAAGGCGAGTTTGTCTGTGATTAGCTGGTAACGAGTGCAAGATGCACCGAGCCTCACAGTCAAAACTCAGCTCGTAAGTCAAATAAGAAACTAGTACGCTTCCTTATGTTCGTGTCTGTCGAAGCATATGAATCAAATGTTGCGTTGGCATGTAAGAGTGATTACCTGTGCGGACCGAGCAAGTGTCTGACTGTACTCCTGTTCGATGTGCTTCAACCGGCTGTTGGTCTGTAAGGAGAGAGCGAGGTAAGGATGAGAAGTACAATCAACTTACAATGCCGTGAAAAAAAATATTTGCCCACATCGCATGTTTCCGATCATGAAGCCAATTTTGATCTCTCAAAGATACTCCAAGCGAAATACAAAACTCAGTTTACCAAATGATGATTTTATTTATAAAGGGAAATGTCATTCAGGAAAAAAAAAAGAGGAATAAGTAATTGGCAGTTAACAATGACATTTCCAAGGCTTTGGGATGCAACAAACCACGGTCGGAGCCATTATACACAAATGAAGAAAATAAGTGGTGAACCTTCCTTGGAAACAAAATTCCTCCAAGGGTATGATGACAACTCATTTAGGAAATCGCAAAGGAACAAAGGATAAGAACTGCAGGCCTCCCTCCGTTAAGGTCAGTGTTCATGACTCAACCATACAGACACTGGGCAAAAATGGAATGCGCTCCAGCGCGAAAACCACATCTGACAAAAACAAACACAAAGATTCCTCTCACGTTTGACTAAAACAACATCTTGATGATCCTGAAGACTTTAAGGGAAATATTCTGTGGACTGAAGAGACAAGTCGAATTAAAAACAACACAGTTCAGTCTTTGATGAAAGGAACTGCACAACAATAGTCGAACATGGTGGTGGCAGGGTGATGGTCCGGGGCTGCTTTGTACTCCAGGACCTGGATGACTAGCGATGAATAATGGTACACAGAATTATGTGGTAGGACATTAAAAGGAACATTCGAAAACCCACAAATATAACAAGAATAATTCTTTTTCATAGTGCGACCAAGAAGGTTTGGATTTTTTTCCCCTTCAGAAAACCACATCTGACAAAAACAAACACATAGATTCCTCTCACATTTGACAAAAACAACATCTTGATGAACCCGAAGACCGTCAGGGAAATACTCTGTGGACTGAAGAGACAAGTCGAATTAAAAACAATATTTGATTAAAGGAACTGCACAACAATAGTCGAACATGGTGGTGGCAGGGTGATGGTCCGGGGCTGCTTTGTACTTCAGGACCTGGATGACCAGCGATGAATAATCGTACACTGAATTATGTGGTAGAACATTAAAAGGAACGTTCGAAAACCCATAAATATGACAAGAACCATTTTTTTTCAGCGGCCCGGTGGTCCAGTGGTTAGCGCGACGACCTCACAGTGTTCAATCCCTGCTCCGGCCTCCCTGTGTGGAGTTTGCATGTTCTCCCCGGGCCTGCGTGGCTTTTCTCCGGGTACTCCGGTTTCCTCCCACATTCCAAAAACATGCATGGCAGGCTGATTGAACACTCTAAATTGTCCCTCGGTGTGAGTGTGAGCGCAAATGGTTATTCGTCTCTGTGTGCCCTGCGATTGGCTGGCAAACAGTTCAGGGTGTCCCCCGCCTACTGCCCGAAGATGGCTGGGATGGGCTCCAGCACCCTCCGGGCCCCTTGTGAGGATTAAGCGGATCGGAAAATGAATGAATAAATGAATTCTTTTTCATTGTGGGACCAAGAAGGTTTGGATTTTTTTCCCCTTTAACAATTTATTGAGAATGCATGCATTTTATAATTACCTGGGCTGTCTTTGCGAGACATTAAACGTGATCCTAACATTTACATGTGCAACAAAACAGGACACACACCAGACATGCAATCGCTGTGACCTTGTGTGCCCCACAACTTCCCTATAGAAGAGGCCTGGAGCCTCTTGGCACCGGGCCACTAGGTAGTGACTGCATGTTGCACGGCGGATGCCATTTCTATTTGATCTCCAGCCAACAATGCATCACTTAACAACAAGGTTGGGGAAATGAAAACCTAGCTGCCAATTAACTACGGGGAACAAAGAGGGACGATCAGCCCAAGCAGGGAGACAACATTCAAGTGAAGACAAACAAAGGCTGTTTGTCAGGAGTTCATTGAGCGCCGCTCCCCTCATTGTTTTCCGTTGTTTTCCTAATGGGAAGCCGGCCAGCCGCGATGCGAAGATTGCGAGAGTCGACTGTGAGACGCGGCTCCCGTCAGCTTGCAGCGCCGCCCCGTTTTCAAAGAGAGTCTTAACAGTGACTGCAGGGAGATAATGAGTTGCGATGTAGATGTCAATGGCTGCTCATTTAGCCTGTGGAGAGGTTCATAACCAGAACTGTAATTCTGTCTGCATGATGAGCCACTTGGGTCTTTAAACAGTCGAAGAATCCAGACAATGGACACTTATTAGGAATTGTCTCATACCAATTCATCCTGAAGACATGCTCACAATCAATTAACTCAATTCAAAACTCAACTCACATGAATTTATAGAGCACTTTAAAAACAATCACAGCCGCATAAAAAATGCTGTACATCAAGTCTCATGCAGAGATGAAAGTCGAAGAATAAAAATGTGTTGAAAGACGAGTTTTAAAGCACGACAAAGAGGGGGGCTTGCTAAGAGTCCTACGGAAGGGACTGGCAATGGTACCCCCCTCCAAACCTTCCCCCCTGCCTCCCCCCGAGGCTCCGCTTAGTCCTCTGTACCTCCAATAACGTCTGGCCCGCTGACCTGAGGCACCGGGCAGGTATGGAGATGTGGCGAAACTCAGAGAGGTAAGGTGAGGTGAGACCATTTAAAGATTTAAAGACAAATGACACAATCTGAAGAATGAACTCTGAACTCTGGAAAGGAAGCCAGTGATGGGAAGCCAGAATTGGAGTAATGTGCTCCCTCCTATGAGCTCCAGTGAGCAAGCGAGCAGCAGCATTTTGGACCAACTGGAGATGCTTGAGGGAGGATTGTCTGACTCCAAAAGTTAAAGTTAAAGTACAATAACTTTGCAATTGTCTTGATTGGGTTTCAAAGTTACATGGAGCCTCTCCCAGTTGACTTTGGTAAACCCTAGAATGGTTGCCAGCCAATCGCATATCCACAAACAACCACTCACATTCTAGTCGACAATGAGCATTGAATGTTTTTTTGGAAGGAGGTAGGAATCCTCTTGCCCTGACAGCTGGAGACAGACAAACACGGAATTCATGAATCAACACCTAAGCCACGTTTGTACTCAGTTTCAAAACACACACCGGAACTCACTGCATTTGAACTTTGGTCTATTCACCTGACCCCAACACTACCTTGGTCTTAGGGGTCCTGCGAACTGGGTGTGTCACGAATTGCCTTATTGCTAAATATCCAATTTCTGACCCCAAGTATCTGGATTTTAACATCGATCTTTTTTTCCACTTCTTTCCCAACTTGATCCGCTTGCCCTGACAGCCGGTGACAGACAAACTCCCTGTAGAAACACTGCGTATGTCATTGAACGCGCCGCCGGCTACAATCAACAAAGCGAACCTTTGGACTCCAAACACTTCCTGACAAACACTGCTGTCCCGCTCACAGCGGACACACCTGTCACCACGGTAACACAGAGCCATCACCAAGGATACGGGACCGCCCGTCTTCCTGTGCCAGGACTCTTGAGTGGCGGCGCTCGTCCCTTGGGAGGGGAGGGGGCCGTTGCAGCTGATGAGAGAGGGGCGGACAAAGGAGGAGAAACTGAGGCGTATCGAAGACGGGCTCGGAAAGGGGGGGGGGGCTCCTTGAAAGCTTCTTTGCTGTTGACACGTTTGTTGTCTTTGACACTGCAGCAGCTATTATTAGATGTTCATGATTTTTTTTTCCATTTTCATTCTTTGTCTCTTAATAGCTTTGTCGACAGTCCGTCTCAGAAAGATCACGAAGAACGTCATGAAATATTCTGCTATCAGACAGAAGTGGAAAGTGTTTTTCCAAAAACGGTTATCAGTTGTGTGTCTGTGTTCTGCATAAGAGTTTCTTGGATGTATACTGGATATCCAGTGAGAGTATTAAAGTATCAATAGCAGTCATTATAGATTGTTAGTAAGGCATTATTAATAACATTGGGGTAACATTATACCTGTTGCAATTGCAAACCTGTCGGGACGACATGTTCTCTTTTCTTTCCACTTCGACACATCGAATCTTTACAGGATTTTTCAGGCCTGTACGGTACAGTGGTCAGGAGTTGGTCAAACGGCATCGGAAGGACTCTCAGACTATGAGAAGAAAATTCTTTGGTCTGATGAGCCAAAGATTGAACTCTTTGGCGTGAATGCCAGGCGCGACGTGTTTGGAGGAGAAACCAGGCACTACTCATCACCTGACCAATAGGATCCCTCCAATGACGCATGGTGGTTGGCTGCATCACGAAGTGGGGATGATTTCAAGGCAACTCAGTGAATGTCCTTGAGTGGCCGAGCCTGAGCCTAGACTTGAATCTCATCGAAAATCTCTGGAAAGACGTGAAGGTGGCTGCGCGCCGACACTCCCCATTCAACCTGATGAAACTTGGTTAATACTTTCAAGTGACAGGATAGTCATAGGTATAATGTATTGCATTTTGGAAGTACCTTGCCCAACACTGGTCAGCATGCTCAGAAGTTAAAAAAAAGAACTACCGTGCCCACTACTAACAAATTCCCTTTATTGACAGCCACTTGAGGGAATATTACCCAACATCATGCATTATACAGCTAAAGCTGCGCCAGGAAATACAATTCCAGTCTATGGTAACAACTGATAAAGACGGATAGCAACGTGTAACATTCTAGGAACACAACCTAGTCGAACGGGGGAGGAAAAAAAATGGAGTGCTAAATTGAAAGCCAAACCATTTATACTATATGAGTCCATGCGTGCTTGCGAGCACTTTCAAAGCGACAACCTGTGCCTTGCCGAAGGCCTTTTCGTTGCGCTGAAGGCACGTTGAGGCTGCATCGAGCTCTTCAATCGCCTCGTCATCCTGGCGGCGTGGAGCGCTGCACTTTGAAAGGAGTGTGAGCGTAAGGATCTGAAAGCCACGCAGGCAGCGGTCCACCAAAGCTTCATTAAGAATCAGCAATGGGAATCAGGCCAAACACACACACACACACACACACACACACACACACACACACACACACACACACACACACACACACACACACACACACACACACACAG